TCATTTAAAAATACTTGTGCTGGGGGGCAGCTTTTCCAAATTTTACATAACTGCATATAACTGAAAACCAAAATGTAGTGATCTGCTTTRCACTCAGATAAGTAAGTACAAAACATCAGCTGCATGAACCTTTCTGTTGGCTTCATGGAGAAACAGCTCTTCTTAACTTGCAATTCACTTCKGGAGCATTAAGAGACAAATGCGTAATTTAATTGACAGCTTTCTTCCAGTGACATAAAATCCACATATTTTCCGAAGCAAATCACTTCAGCCTCAAAAGGGAAATTATGGATTTCTTTATTCATGTCACTTTTAACTTTAAAAATCTTTTTTACTCTCCTACAAGGAAAGCTAAGAAAACTGGGATTGTTCAGCCTGGAGAAGGCTTCAGRGTAACCTAATTGAAGTCTTTCAGTACCTAAAGTGAGCCTGCAAGAAAGATGGAGAGGGGCTTTTTACAAGGACATGTAGCGATAGGACAAGGGGAAGTGGCTTAAAACTGAAGASGGTAGGTTTAGATTAAATGTTAGGAAAATGTTAGGGTGGTGATGTACTGGAACGAGTTGCACAAAGAAATCGTGGATGACCCACCTCTGAAAGTGTTCAAGGTCAAGTTGGAAGGGGCTTTGAGCAACCTGGTCTGGTAGAAGATTCCCTGCCCATTGAAACTAGAAGATCTTTAAGGTCCCTTCTAACCCAAGCCATTGTGCTATTCTATGATTCTTTGACAAAATACTTAAATTGGCCCAAGTTAAGCATATAGATACTTAAACAGTTTTGAAGCCTAAAAACATATTCTCAAAACAGCAAGCAAAGAATACTGCTTACATCAAAGAGCAAACTCTGCTCATGCAGCTTGAAACATGGTATTGCATGCCTTGGATGCATGTTAGGGCTGAGATAAACCACTAAGCTGTGTTTTCAATTTTGTATTTGAACTTCTGCTGCCCCCGGAGTAATAACTTCAGTAAAGCCACAGATGTGATTTTCAACATAACCCAGAGTTTTTAAACCCWCAAAGGTGTTAGAGAGGATCTATAYTGAAGGAGTTGTACATTTAAAAAATCAACTCAAGAAATCACTAAAGCAACACTTTTACCTCAGACTTGCCATGGGAAGAAAGCAACTTATTAGGCGTTCAGAATATTGCATAAGCTGCATTTCAAAAAAGTGGATTTTTGTAAATGACCATCTTAGCTACTCATCATACTGACAGCAGCAATGACATTAGGAGCCTGGTTTGTGTATATTCCTTGCATACGTGGAAACAAAGAATGAAAGTGATTGTGCAGCAAATTTTTGTTAGCACTCGAGTTCCCAAATGTTGCAGATAATGAGGTTAAAATATTATACATCTGTGTCCTTAGTCAGTTACTTAAATTATGTTTCTGAAGTCCAAAAATGATTTCAGGAAAACATAAAACAATTGGCACTGGGGGATTTGAATTTGTTTGGGTGGTTTTGTTCCATTGTATGGAAAGCGCTGTCTATTGTTTTAGTCAGTTTGAGAAACTCCAGCTATTCTGCAGTGAGAAATTAGGTGATTACTAGTGCATGCAGTAACTCCCATGTATGTCCAGCTGCCACCCCCTGCCAAGAAGCAGGGTGGCTGTGGTTTCTCTTGCACCTGAGGCACACCTTGGAGCAGAAGTGTTTYCCTGTGCAGCTGCTTACCAGCTCTGAAATACCATTCTTGCAGGCAAATTATTCTGTGCCTCCTGCATTTCCAGCTCTCCTTTGCGTTAAAGTTGCCTTGAATCAACTGCATGGTTCAGTCACACYTACTGCCCTGGCTGGGGACACTGTRYTCCCTCCCCACTCCCCTTGACTTCTGTTCATCTGTCATTTGATTTCTTTCAGAAGTTTTTTAAAGTAAGTTTAACTTTTTGCACTCTACTGAGTCTCCTACTCCAACAACATCTGTTGAGAATGTGGTATTCTACCTGCTCATTTACAAATCAGTTGCCATACTGGAAAATACCACTTATGACATTTCCTTCAATAACTTTATCAAGGTATTTAATTCCTAAATATGTTTTAAACTCTTGAATCTGCAGTCATTTCCCTCATCTCTCAACAAAATTAGTCATGGATAACCTGAAACACAACTCACACCCATGTTTGTATTRCTTCCTCAATGAATTTTTCTCGATTTTTAAATCACATTACCCCAGAAATGATGCTGAAAATGAAATACGAAATCACGTGGAAACTTTATAAGGTTATATATAATCCTTGTTCTTTGTGCTCAGTTTCAGACAGGTCCATGTGTCCATACAGAACGTAGAAATCTCATGTTGCCCATTTTTGTTTAAAACCTTCATTAATTTTAGTATTTTCTCTTACAATCATAGTTTGGTTGAAATATAATGAATTCTTCTTATGTTATTTTTTATTTTAAAAAAAATTAAAAATATATATAAATATATTTTAATATAAAGATATTTAGATTTCTGATACTTTTAGCTACTCCATGGTAGCAGAAAGCCATATAAACGCATGCACTAATTTTCTGAAATAGTCCAAAAACACTGACCCTAAGGAATTGATAGACTAGAGCCATGAACTTGGCAAGGACATGCTAATTGGTCAGTGGAAATGTAGGGGCTACCCCTAAAATATACAGATCTCTAAATGTCCTCACTCCACTCTTCAAGCCTTAGTGTTTGAATAATTTTGGCAAGTATTACTTGAAAATGTCACCCTATGTTGCCACAAGGGTATTGAATAACTACAAACACCTGCTGTAATACAGCCACGTCAGAAAGGGTATTTTGTAACACCCTCTCATTTTAAGAGCTCTCCTCAGACATGAGGTAAGAATTATTTMAAAAAATAGTAAATGCATGTGAAGCTGCCAGCAAGACAAAGTGAACACTGGGTTTCTTTTTTCACTGTTAATTCTGGTCTTGCTGGTAATGATCTTTGACAGCTGGCTTGCAATTCTCTTATCCTGCTTTRAAGTATTTCCAGGGATGCATTATCCCACTTGTTTGCTAAATACATATTTTGCTCCAGAAATATATTACTAGCGAGAAAAAAACCTGAAAAGTAAATGCCTTACTCCCCAATATATGACTAGCGAGAGAAAAACCTGAAAAGTAAATGCCTTACTCCCCAGCAAGTGCTCTGTTGGCTGTCACTGGCAGGAACAGCACTGCCTGAGGCTTACCAAGTTGAAAACTTGTTTTTGTAAGATTACTGAGCTAGTGCAGCTGGAAATGCTCTTCAGCATTAGGCAGCTGTCGTTGGACAATATTGCCAAGACAGACATTGTCGGATGTATTTAATATTTGGCAATCATGGGTGAACTACCAGGACTGTAACCCTGTCAGCATTTACAGATTTAGMTCTATTTGAAGTCAAAGGTGACATTCTTGCACTTTAAAAATGCYGGCTATTCATCAAGATGAAGATAAGCAACTTGTATGGTTAGTAGCTGCATTWCTTCCTTGTAATTCACTTCAGGTACAAAAGACTTGGTGGTATAAAATCTCCTTGGCAGGCACCAAGTGACCTCCTTTTACTGTACACACTGTCACCAACCTGCATGAAGTAACACCCTTTCTTTTCATGGCTGCATGCCAAATCAGTAATTCTAGACCTCTTCTATGCTTAAAATCTTTCCAGGTCAAATTACAAAGGCCCTCCAACAGGCATTGACTAAAAGTCAGTTTTTGGTGTGAGGCAATGCTGTCTTCTGAGACTGCAGTACCAGTTCCTTCGGTATTATGTACAGGCAGTGGTGAAACAACACACTGCTGTTATCAGGTCAGGCACACAGAATATGCCGTTAGCTTTATTTCTGCATGCTATAGCYAGATGTGAGTGTCATTACAAGTAGCTGTTGGGTGTAGCATGTAGTACATGTAGCCAAGGGAGGAGCCAACAGTGCTGATCAGGAAAGGCTTGAATTCTGCTTTCTCTGTGTCCCAGCATGTCAGCACCACTTGCTGGTGTCTAAAGGGAACAGAGAACTGATGTTATCTGGCTGGATTATCCATGTACTTCTGAATAACAACCCTGTAAAACCTTGGCTCCAAGTAGAGTGAAAATACTGTATAGGAAGAGTTAYACTTCTGCTTCAACATCAGGGAGTGTGCGCATGAGAATACAAGCCCAGATGTGCATTCCCTTATCCTCTGCAAAGACAGAGGGATACAGGCAACAAGTAAGAAAATGACAGCAGCTAAAGAAGCAGAGGAATATGGAAAAAGTCCTGTGCAAGCGGAAAGCCCTTGTAACTTTCTCATGACTTGACTGATCCAAACAGGCATGTCTAAGCATCAGTAAAAATCTTCTGTGCCTCCAGAGCTGAGGGCTGTTGAATGTTACTGTGTGCCATTAGTGCTGTCTTAATGCCATTAGGTTGGGGATACAAAGGAAAAATATAGACACAGAAGCAAGATCAGAGCAACTGATGCTAAGCCACAGCAAAGCTCAGCAACACTGAAATGCTTACCCTGGGAAGAAATTCTTGGAGCTTTGTACTAAATTCATGGTTTTGTTCCTGCATGAAGCCAGCTAAGAAGAGGCAATTTGCAGGAAAAGTATGCATAGAATCAAATCTGGGACAGAAGAAAAAAAAAAGGCACCAGTCTGGAGCCAAATCAGACTGTTCAATAAAATTTTCCARTATATGAAACAGAGGGGAAGCAGTCTGATAACTATCTACTGTTGCAGCTGGCAGGTGCATTAAAACTCTCATTCTACCAAGGGAAACAGAGCTACTTTTTGGTGACTGGATTTTGGCATACTGGATTATTTTTGCCTCTAGCTTTGCACACAAAATCAATTGAAGTATGGAAAAGAACCYGAGTATGGGAAAGCAAGTCAATACTGTCAGCACAGAATAAATGATGCAGTGGCAATAACAGAACTTTTTCTGGAGAGAAGGTATTTATGAAAAAATGTCATTTCCTATTTCAGTAAAGACAAGTTAGTCTGCAGGAAGATTGTGTGAACTTCCCAGCTCTCAATTACATAGTCACACATTTGTAAAGTTCCAGAAACACTTTATTTAAAAATGGAGTTGTAAATGCATATAACAAAATAACATACATAATAAATGTAACAAAAATAAATAAGGAGAACATGTCCATACAAAATAATAACATAGTAATGCAAAATGCTTATTACACAACATAAAGGTAAAAATGCCTGAAAGAACACAAACAGAATCTCGTATGAAGAGCCTGCACCTTTAATCCTTCCTAGCCATTTCCTRCTTTCTACTTGAATCTGCAGAAAAATTATGTTCCCAAGCATTAAACAAAAGAAGGAATCATGGCGATGGTTTGGTACACTCAATTATCAACACCTAGCTCTAGTTTCCATTTATTTTTGCCCTTCTGCACCTTCAAAAAATTTTCCTCTAGCCTCTGTAAACTAGTGTCATTCAGGCTCCCACAGGTAGCTGTAGTAGAGCATATTGAGTCATACATGAAGACTGTTTGCTTTTAATTTTTTTAAAGAAAATATGAAATCCATTATACAACAGATTAGTGGTTTTGTTTTTACATCTCTACAAAAAAAGTCTTTGCATCTTTATTAACTGGTCCAACTTTTACTGATTTCTGAAAGCCTGTACAATTCAAAAGCGTACAGAAAGTAGGTTTTTTTTAAAAACAAATCTCATATAGGATTATTGCTGAAATATTAAAGACCATTTCATAAAAGCTGCAAAACTGTATCTTTAACCTTAATATATAGAGACTGATGCAAACATAAGAAAATTCCAGTCTATTAGTTACATTTAACAGAAAAAACATTCCTCCAAATTACAGTGTTCTGGAAATACAAAGTAATTTACTTTAATTTTTATTATTATTTCCAAATGTTAAGTTACTGGGACAACTGATAAGGAAATAGGCTTATATAGGAAACTTTAAATAGACTTGCTTTTCAGTGGTATAAGCAAAATCTCCATGTTAGCAGTCGTTGTCCAGAATTCTTTTAAATATGTAAGACAGGGACAGCTTTACTAGCAAGACTACAGGAAAATATACAGAAGCAAATAAAATAATTTGCTTGGGAGTGCATCTATCGATCAAGCAAATCATGACAACTCTATTTCCAAGTCTCCTAAAGAAAATTTTACATCTCATGATCATTCCAAATAAACAGTAATTTCTTCTSTAAGCTTATGCGGCATTTGGATTGGTGGGAGCCCATTTGCCTCAATATGCTTTAATAAATCCCACATTGCTGTATGTTTAAATTTGTTTTCTAGTTTCAACAAAGATTTGGACAGCAATGAGATATGAAATACTTCTACTTTCATTAGCTTCAAAAAGACATTTGAAGAAGATCAAAAAGTGCCAAATAGTCTTTTCAGAAAGTGGACTAAAACACTGTAATGATAATACAAGGACAGTATTATCAGTTTTCTATGTACACTAAAACACTGCTWGCTGTTCAATGATATCGATATGTTTACCTACCACTCCCAGCAAATTTTAGTGCAAACATAACATGTGAACTTACTTGTAAACCCCAAGACAATTTACGCAGCAACAACGTTACATAAACCACAGAACTGYTTGAGATTTTCCAGTACATGAGAATGAATGCTTTCTGGAATCTGTCTTACTTGTGCAGTAATGTGTCATTGTAGTCAAAGATAATGTTTCCTATATAAATCATCTAATTCAGAATCAAACATAACTGTTCAACAGTTCTRTACAAGCTTTAGAGGAGGAAGTCCATTCATCAGAGCAGCTTGGCAAAGAGATTTGGGGTTTTCAGTAAATGTTAAACTGCTTGCATGGCTTTTAAAAAGAAATAAATCTATTAAAGGAAAACTGCTGATATAATAATTCTTTTGCAAAGCACACAACCACAAAGGGCAAACCTGCCACAATCTGCTTTCCTACACTGCTATCTATGCATATCTTTATGATTTGAAAAGGATTAAGGATTTGTGTGACAATCAAAGCATCACAATAAAAGAAGACTGGTTTAATAAAACAACTGCTGTTTGACCAAGCCTTTTTTTTTTTAGATATAAAAACCAACATTGTAAGTTTTCCTTGATTTCTAAACATTCCACATGAAAGGTTTTTGTATCAAACRCTGAGATGTCACTCATGCAGGGTGGCATCTTCTTCTTCCCCGTCTGGGTTAAACCTATTGAAATGTATGCTGAAATCTGCCTCAGATTCAGCATTTTCCAATTCGGCTGTCACAGAGCCAGTGGTGGGACGAGCAGCTCGAGCCTCGGGCTGGCAGTTTGGCTGCACTGGAGGGCGGGCACCTTGGGAAACAGGGCTGGACTTCGKCTTCGGCTGAGCTGGTAACATGGGGCTGGTGAATCCCAAGTTGCTCAGAGCATCCAGGGTACCATCAGGGTCAATCATAGCATTAATTGCTAAGCAATCAAGAAAAGATGAGAAGGATAGGGAAGAAACCATAAAAAATATGATTTTCTGTTACCATAAAAATATGGAAATCCTTATCTCACAGGTGTATTTTCATGACAGACATGAGTTTTTTATGTGTGCTGCCCATGAGAAGAAAATGGTGTGTCCAACATAGATGCAAACTGAGACATATATTCAAAAGCAGTTACATATATTAAAACTTCAGATGAAATGGAACTGCATAAACTAAACACTGCTTCATGTGTGATGAGGAAACAGTGCTCATAGACCATACATGATTAAGTTATAGAGACTGAAAGATGGGACTTTCAGTCAGTTTAAGGGGCTTTTCCCCCTGATACTACCATTATGTTTTGTTCACCCCCAGCAAATAGCCATAGTGGCTGATTCCATGATTGAATAAAATTTGTATAAAAGAGCAGTCATTTATCCACATAGTGAGAGCAAACAGAAGCACCTGGTACCTTTTAATTTTATTGTATTTTATTATACTATCAACATATTTGTCCCATTTAACAGAACTTCTCTTTTTAATTTCCAAAAATGTATTAACATTTCTTTTTAAATAGTATTTTGCTGTAGCATTAAATCTGAATATTAAAAATAACAAATATAGGAAATTTACAACTAACATAACAGTGATAAGCATGGAGCACTAATCCGTTTGACCACCATTGCTATTGAACAGTAAGCTAATTATAAACAATACGCAAATAAGACTGTAACTTCTTTTCAAAAAAATATTCAGATTTTAAGTTTATCTTGATAAATTGAATATTTGTTTAAATAGCAAACTTTGTAAGAAAAACACACTTCTTTCCAYTTTATATATAGATAAGACTTTGTGTGTGAAAAGTCAAGTAACTTCAATTTCGTAGTCTATGGGCTCCACAGTTAAAAAGATTGGATTTTGCAGTGTGAAGGGAAGATGTCAAGAGCTAATTTTAAATTTTCATTTTATTGTAACACAGACAGTTGGGGGTTTTTTTTTGAGATTTCCTACAGATTATGGTCTTAACACATTCCTTATGTTGAACTCTGCTACACATGAGGGTATTACTGATGTGCACAGCCTATTTTATAAAGCCYGATTCTCAGGATTCTCTATCACCTACTCTTCAATATTTGCCTACAAAAATATTTCTGTTAAAAATTTTTCACAAGTAATTATTTCAGGATTCTCAGGACTAGTTAATTATTAGCTGAGCCTTTTATCACCCATTGGAAAAGATATGATCACTCCTCTGCTTTAAAAAAAAAAAAAAAGTGATATTTTTTATCAAATGTATCAGCAGTTATATGACAAACATAACTGATACTGTGAATGTATTTTAATGAATCACAGTGACYTTGCCTCATGGTATATATATAAACATATAGATATCTATTAAAAAAATGAAGCAAGAAACCACAAAAAAGTGAAAAAATAATTGTACCTTGAAGCTGCTTCTCAACTCGTTTCAGTTCTTGCAAGATTGATGATATTTCCTAGAAAAGAAACAACCATGTTTCATTATCACAGAACCATAGAATCGCCAAAGAAGAGATCTTTAAGCATTAAGTCCAACTCTGTCCACCTGGTACTACCACTGTAACCCTTAAATCACTAAACCATCATCCAGTGCCAGATCTGGATGCCTCCTAAACACTTCCAGGAACAGTCTTTCCACCACCTTCCTGGGCAACCTGTTCCAAAGCCTGACCACTCTAAYAGTGAGAAATATTTTTCTAATATTTAATCTGAATGTCCTTTGTCCCAGCTTAAGGCCATGATAGAAAAATAATGGAAATTTGCATAATGGAAAAAGAGATTTAAACTATCTCTCAGTAGTGAACAATCCCCTTCCCAAACCTTTGCARATGCAATATGCTATTTGGATTATCCCTCCTGGCATCAAGAACATCCCTGCTGGTGGAGGCCCAGCCATTTACTGCARGGGTCCTGGGTGCCTGAGAGCATTTTCCAAACACTTCTTGAACTCTGGAAGGTTTGGTGCTGTGACCACTTCCCAGGACCATTTCCCTGGTTATAGAATTAGCATATTTATATTAATATAAATATGTAAATCGTGCAATTGAAGGATCCTACACTGAAGAATAGTGTTAATCCGACTGCTCAGGAGAGCTGTGGGTGGTATTCTAAAGCTGAGAATTTCCAAAGGCACTGATTTCAGAAAACCATTAATCCATCTCAGAAAGCTGTTCTGTAGTAAGTACTGTGATTTTCGTGGGTGGCAAAGAGATTGATTATCTTGAGTTTTACAACAAGATTGATTATCTTGAGTCTTCACATCTGAGCTGGACATAAATGTTCCAAAGACAAAACAAACATCACTTAGAACTGTCCTCTCTTAACTTTTAATGTTCTGTGGTAAAAATAAGCACTGCATTTGAACAACATATTGTTCTGAAAACTAAGTACGAACTTGAAAATCAGTGCATAGACAAAAAAAAACCCAAACAACCCATAGACTTTCAAGCAATGCAAGATGCTTTAAATTGAAAAAATTAGTAAAATGCTGAATTTAGGGATAAATCTACAACTAACCTTTTTCTTTTTTAAAGAATACCTTAAACCCCCATATTCAGGGCATTTAGAATATAGAACATTAAATCTGGATTTTACTCTGGACATGGATAAGAGAAACTCCTTACATTGTAATACTTCTAACATTGGAAACTTCCAGAAGGAGCTTGCTTAATTAATTTTTTTTAAATCCCAACAAAAACTATGAGTGAATTTATTAGGTTATAATACTGAGTTACCTATGATTGCTCTTAATAAATATACCATTCTACAGAAATTACAAGCCAAGTTTTTTATGTTTCTAGCAAAAAACAGTATGGAGGAGTTTAATAACCGATGATAAGCTAATGAAGAAGTGTTAGCCTATTCAATGCCAGAGGAAACATATTCACATTTGAGTTCTGAGCAGTCCAGTATGAAGTATGTGAGCAGTTTCCTCTCCCACCTTTCTCCCAGTAAAAACCCTGCCTATGTAAACAGACATTCTGAACAGCAGACCCTGCAGATGGATAATGTAGCTCGACTCTGCTTGCTCTCACATGCAGGGATGTTTAGAAACCCTATGCTCTGTGTTTAGAAGCAGAGAAGTGGACAGGGACACAGTGTGTGGTCTGTCCCCTCACACTGTCACACAGTCTGGTCATGCAATGGCCTGAATTAGGCCATAAACCACAGCTTATTTATGTCATTAGGCTATTGGAGAAAACAGCTGGAGTTCTAGTGGGCACCCTATGRTTACCACTTCCAGACAAACCCAACATGATTATCTTCCATGGAAGTGTCCTTTTATTTCAATATGTCTGTGGATTATTTTCATCAAATACATTAAACCACAACAATTTCTCTAAACATTAATAACTACTATTAATAGTATTAAACATTACGTRTTAAGGATTAGTGATTAGTAGGTAGTTTTTAAATGGTAAAACAAGTTTATTTAAAGGCAATGTAACATTCAAACTAATGGTTGTTACCTTTTGTTAAGCAAACATACTGATGGTCTACATATAGTCTAAATCCATTTTACTGCATTCTTTATCTGAGAATTTTCTCTGAACAATTACTTGTTTCTTTTTGAGATGGTAAATCTTAGTAATTACTAAAGATTAGGTTTATTCTTGACATATACTTACTGTCTAAATAAAACCTTTTCAAGATTTTTGCCCTTAYGTCATTTAAAAGAACACATTCCTCWACCAATTCCTTAGATGAGCAGTATAATCAATCCCAGAAAAGGTAACTATTCATACCATGCTTGATGTTTTTACAATAGGAACTTCACTTTCAGCTCGTAACTTGTTTTCAATTTCTTCCCAATTTCTGTCTTTGTCCTTAAAYAATATTCTAGAAGAAAGAAATCCAACAGTATGYTTAAAATAGAAAAAAACCCCMAAAAATAAACKGAAARATTAAATAATATTATAGGAGAAAGCAGCAWAAGAAGCATTGAATGAAAGTAAAATATAAAATACTGAAACCTGATGGAATCTAGCCGTACAGTTTAAATTTTCAGGGAAGCATASAGGCTGTCAGCAAAATCATTATTATTGACATTAAAATGGTAGTTCGGTAGCTAAATACTTGCTTATGATATGTTTATACAGACACAACTGATTTTTTCCTTCAGCAATAAGACTTATTTTTTAAAAAATCCAATTATTTAACAGCAGTCAGAAAATCCCCATTAATACTGCATTTTATAATAACTGCAAAATGTAAGATAAATTAATTCAACTTCCATATTTGTATTTTACAATAATTTAATAAAAAATAACAAACTTCAGGAAATTTTAAAAAGGCATTGCATAGAAAAAGTTTTCACTGAGAAGCCTCCATATGTAGATTTTATATATATACATGTACATATATATATGTGTTTTAGAAGTATGGTATCACATGTATTATATGTTTAAAGKAGTCACTTCTAATTGTAACTGTAATTGTATGATTTTTCATTTAGCTTCTTGCCATGTTCTATTAAAATAATTCTATYCTGAYATWYGTGATTAGTACCTTTGCKTGTATATGTGGTGTTTTTAGAGCTAATGTTCTTACTYCTCTTTTAAAATTTAAAAGGTTCTCATTTCATTGGTCACTTTATTAAAAAAGAAGGGAACAAAATGAAAGCATTAATTAGAAGTTTTGATAATGTTATTATTAAAACTGTAAAGTGTACAGGCAAATTTGTTTTTACTATAAAGTTATGAAGCCTATTTCCTTCTTTCTTCATCTTTTTGAATTCTTCATTTAGATATTTTTAATTGCCTTGGGGGTCATCATTGCTGTCTTCTTTGCTCTTCCTCTTTCTAGCCATACTTTTTAAGTTAAAAGAATATATTTATAAATGCCTGTTGCCGCCTTCTCTTGCTTTTTCCTTCTTTCTGAGGCAAATCTTTCTTGACTGTGCTCAATGCCCATTTTTCTTTCAGTGCACTTTGCAGGATGCACAGCAAACAKCAAAGGCCAACAAGCAGAACCTCCACTGATGGGAATGCTTTGCCTGGCTGAAGAGGCGTGTGCCTGCTACAAGGCGAGGCAATGACACTGCACTCACATTGCAGAGCACTGAAAAACTGTGCAGATCTCACCACAAAACTTTCTCACCTCTTCCCTTCACGACCTCTAAAAATTCCTGCAAACTCTTTGTAACACATAAAAGCACAAACACCGGCTAGGTGGAGAATGGATGGAGAGCAGCCTYGCTGAGGACTTGGGGGTGCTGGTGGATGCAAGACTGGACATGAGCCAGCCATGTGCACTCCCAGCCCAAAAAGCCAATCCTGTCCTGGGCTGCATCAAACACAGAGTGGCCAGSAGGGTGAGSGAGGGGATTCTGCCCCTCTGCTCTGGTGAAACCCCACCCGCACTGCGGCATCCAGCTCTGGGGTTCACAACATAAGGACCTGTTCACTGAGTCCAGAGGAGGAACACAGAGATGATCAGAGGGCTGAAGTACCTCTCTTATGAAGACGTTGTAGTTATTCTGGGCAGAAATTTTAACTGGCTTAATTCCAGCAAGAAGCACACCTGTTGGCTGAAATAATGTATTTCAAAACAAAGCTAAGGTAAAAATCTGTAATAGGTTCAAACTGTTTTCCAGAAGGATTTACTGAAACTGCTCTCCTGTGTCCTATTAATTTTTTCTTCCTAAAACGCAAAATCCCTACAACTTGGCAATCGTACAGGGACCAGTTTTACAGTGCAGCAACCTTTTACCCTTATCTTTTAAGGAAGGGACTTTTACAAGAGTTGTGTAGATTGTGCAAAGTATTTGCATATGTTGGAACAGCTCCCCTGCTGCAAGTCTGATGGATGTCGTTCTGTCCATGTCAACTTGCCTGATATTCCTCTTCACAATAAGTGAAATAAACAGAAGAATAATGTGAAAAGTATTTACTCCAAATCTTTCTGAATGCTAAAAAAGCCATAGGTAACAGTGCTTTTTTAAAAGACAAGTTTCTACTATGTACGTTTGCTCTGTGTTGATTGTACATATTTTTTTATGGCTGGGAATGTTGATGGGAACAGACATTTTCAGCAGTAACAATAATTAAAAAAAAACCCACCTGATTTTGCCAGCTGTTTTGTCTATGGATTGTCTTATCTTGCGAGAAAACTGGAAGACTGAGGACAACAGCAAACTGTCCCCCATAACCTGCAGTAAGTTTTTAATGAAAAAGGATATTATTAGTATTATGGGAATTAAATAGAAATAATTTCATATATTTTGGTATGTTTAGCTATAAAAAATCTTACTCATGTTTTAATTAGTATCATATACAATGATATTTGAACATTTTGCCAATCAAATGTTACACAATTGTCTTCAATATTAATTCCACCTGCTAGAGGTAGGAGAGACAGGATAATGTCTAGAATATTAAGTGGGGAGATAATTGTAAAAGCTTAAAATAGACACATTCTTAGAGAGAATCCTGTTGTGTGCTCACTTCATCTCTGCTCCAAGTCCTTCTGCGGGTAATTGTTGGGGGATCGAGGGCATCTGTCAGCTGAGGTCTGGCATCACTAGGCCGACCATTCCCTTCCGGGGGTTTCGCATGCACTATTGGAGGGATTTTTCTAAAATTGAGACTTTCATCAAATACTCGGTCCACCAACTGCGGGATAAAAGAAAAATTCAGTTTATGAAATCTACTGGATACATCCAAAAATCAGATTGCTGGGATTTTTTCTCCTGAAACAGTTTATAAGATGCCTATCAAATAAAAATCATTCTTTTGTCTTGYATAATATAAAATGATGCACCTCTTATGTAAGAATATCTTGTACAAATGAAAGTTTGGGGTTTTTTTTAAACACCACACATACAYGGAAAATTTAGACTATCCCACTAAGATTTTGCTTATGGGCAGGTAAAATAATAGCTACCTATAAACTGGTAGCAAATATTTTATTCCTTTGATTAATGGAATGCATCTGTGGAATTAARTAGAATACTCTGAAATTTAGGGATTTTTTCCAAATTAGTAATGCTATTGCAGAAAGACCTATACTACCTAAAGGAGATACTGCCACCTGCAGTATGTACCTAATGCACCATATTTTTTGCAGAAGAAAGTAATTATTTAATCATAAAAAATKTGGAGTGATCTAATCAGATCTAAGAAAAAGAGCATTTTACTTCCTTCAAGTTTAGCCACAGCTCATGAGAATTAAACCCAAAATCTATGTGAGTGCATTTATAATTTTTCTGAGTACCCATCTCACAGATTTCTTATTGCTGTTTATATCTTTTTTTCCACAGAAAAAGACAGTATTRAACTAACCACAGTAAACTAGTGTATTAACCAAAATTTATGCACACAAAAATGAATAAAACACATTTTGAAAAGAATACCATGACGGAAAAAATGCATTAAACATTTACAACACATTATTATGGTGAATTGTAACATGATAGAAAGTGATGATATAAATTCAGATTAACATGTTTACCAGCATTAGACCTGTGATGGTTAYTAGAACACGTTAGTCAATATTTTCACAGAACAGCACACCAGAGGTAGGCAAAGAAAATAAGAATTATTAGAAGCATAAAGCAAACTTATTTCAAGGCAGTTTTTGACAGTGTTATTAAGAAAGAAAATCTAAAGTTAACTAACTGATGGTACCTAAGTATTTCAGTGTTCAGAAGATGAAACTTTTATGTCACCTGTGAAAAGAGGGACTTTTTTGTTTTTAATAGCTATGCAAAGAATTAAATGTACACATTTACATATGGCTGTGCATAYACACTAGTATCTTTAAATGCACTTAGATACCAGTCCAACAGTATCTAAGGCTACAGACAAGCAGGAAACAAGTAACTACCGTGTATGTTTCGTGGAAAAAAAGAGACAGACAGACAGGATGGATCCTTCTGACAAGCTGCGCGCATAAAATAACTTCTGGGTTATTTGTTGAAATGTAAAGGAACTTTAAATATATATAAAAAAGCAGTGTAGAGATCATGCATTCGGGTTGAATGGAAGTAACTAAAAAGGCTATGCAAAATGCGAAAAACAAAAGAAATAAAGAAAAGGAAGAACCTTATGCATTTCTCCATGAAGATCTCCTACCTCTTCTCTAGTGTCTATGGCAGAGCCAGGGGTGGTGGCAGCAGTGCTTACTGTGGTACTGGGGGCAGTGCCTGATGAAGTCACTGAATCTATCTCTCCTGCTACATCGTTGATTTCCCGTGCGATGAGAGCCAGATCTTGACTGATCCTAGTAATAAAGACAGTGTTACATTCTCCCCTGCAAATACTTTGGGGCCAGTAGAGCCCAATCTGCAGCCTTTGATGTTGTAAGCATCGAGCTCCTGATAATGGTGCTATGAAAACGTGCATGCCTTTCTAAATGGAAAGATTATTTGTAGAACCATAAATGCAATTTTTAACTGAAGCTTTTAATAGCATGTCTTTCTAGAGGAAGAAGGTGGAAGGCAAYCTCAAAAGACTGAGTATCCTCGTTTTCTTCCTAAGATTCACAGACAGATGTGTGCAATATGCAGTACATCAAACACAAAGGATGCACAGGAAATACACTGAAAATACTGCACAGATGAGGTGTGTACGTGGCAGTAAATCCAAAATGTTCAGAAAATATTTAATTTATACCTTAGTTTGCCTACTTGAAAAACTGTTTTCAGGACCTCAGATTTTCTAGCAGCCCTGCAGCTCTCTCAGATCAAGCTGCTTATGTGTCTGAAATTCCAGACCAATACCCTAAATCCTCAAATTTAATCAAGACAAGTTTTCCACTGGCAAAAATAGAACATACATTTAAAAACCTGGATATGATAGCATTACAAAAATACACCTCAAATCTCAGCCAAAGATTCCTTTTCCTTTCTTCTGATTGACCACATCAAAAAAYAGCTTTGCTCTGTATGCTGTTCAGCAGAGGGAGGAAGCTTGGCTAGTTCTGCTTGTGCTACTCCTCCCCAAAACACCCCAAAAGAAGGAGGCAACAAGACAAAAAAAAAAAAAMCATAGCGAAAGCTAGAAGCCCTTACTACCTATGGCACCTTGAATCTCCAGCTTGGATCACACAGTTCAGAAGAGCAGACTGCCAAGTGAACCCTTTTACACTGCCTGACAGCAATGAAGGCAYAGAAACTGACAGTGCCACTTCTGCGCCACCAAGGACTCAGTGACGCGCAGCAACCGCCACTCAAGTGGGACGAAGTGCACAGCCATGTGACAGTGACACACCCGGGCTGCAGAGATTGATTGCTCAAGGTGAGCTTCCTTCCACTCTTWATTTTCACTTTGCCTTCCAGACAAAAAGAATGGACACCATTGATCCAGAGATAACCTAAGACTATGCAAATAGAATTTCAACTAAAAAGACAAACATAAAAAGAGAAATTTCCAGCCAATTCCAACACTGGATTTTGTGGCTAACCACCAGCAATCTGCAATGAAGCGCAACTTTGTGCTGCTTAGGTACATATATAATTGGGTTGAGGCTGTAGATGAATATGTGCCAATTACCTGTGACCACTCAAGCCAGTAATTCTGATTTAAACTTTAAAAGACTGGAACAGTAAAGCATAAGACAAGTCAATTGTTCATTTAAATAAATTAAAATATGGTAAGTGCTATTACCACATAAATTGATTTAACTTAATTRTTATAGCTTTTGAGTCAATTTTAATTTATATTTCGCCTTCTTATATATACATGCCGTTAAAAATCCAGTATTCTAAGTAGTAGAGTTACTAAAACATCTAATTCATTTCATACAATCATCTAACTTCTTCCTTAAATAGAAATGTTGCTACTAATCACATTTGAATTCCTGGGACAAATTCTGCTATTTAATTAGTAGTTGTGAAGAAAATAAAACCAGGAGATTTCAACTATCAGTACATTTTCCAGAAGGCAGGAGTCATTAAACACCATAATCAAAAGTAGAATCAATTAACTAAGACTTAACTCTTCAAAGAAATCAGAAATGCTTCAACATGACACAAGCACTTCATTTGAGTTCTTATCAAGAAATCAAAACTACATAAAATTTCAGGTCTCTATATAAAAATGAATTCACCCTGGAAGTATCAGAATAAACAACTCTAACATTGATAGCAAGCAGCTTGGTAGACAATTATCATAGTCAAGTATCAGTCATGTTGACAAAATCTGGAATTATTTTCAATGTGACAGTAAGCTTTAGTCAGTACTTAATTACATTTCTCTACAGAAACAACACAGAGCACTAAACAAGAAGAATTGTGAAAAAGGAAATCAGAAACCAGCTGTGAGTTGAGCCTGACTTTTCATAAATGAAGTTTTCAAGTAATTCTACATTAAATTTCAGAAACAGATTGCTTAAGGACAGTATGTTTTGTGTTATCAGGGACAAGAGACTTAGGCTTCAGACACACACTATTTACTCTGCTGCARCTGTAGGCTGCCTTGCAGATGTCCTTTGCTTGTTGCATCAGTCCTAGCAATCAATTCATAGATGCAAAACTAATGAACCTCAAATTCCCTAAACSTATCAACGTGCTCCAGGAAATACTGCTTGGGATTCATTCAGTGAGCACTCAGCTACATAAGGAACAGACTCACTTTCCAACACTTAGGAAAAAGAGAGAACATGGAGCTTGGGATGGAGAGAGCATGACCACCTTTTCCAAAAGCCTGGAACTCTAGTTCTTATTTACCTCTAGTGAAAGAATACCCAATGCTAGAAAAACACAATTAAATACGAATACTTCTAAGATATCCATAAGAGTGCTGAACTGCTGGATTACCAAAACCATTTTTGTGCTTAGACTACRTTACTTCCTGTACTGAGTCAGTGGATTTTCTAATATGACTTTCATTTTTATATATCCTTATATAAAATATATACGAAGCTCCTGTTATTCCAAGGATGCATATTCCCTCCATGCCAAAATGGCTTTAAATCAAGTTCAGTTATTCCACCAAGTTTTTCTGAATACCTCTTTCAAATTTTCATATTTATTATCATCATCTGTAAATTGTGAAGTCTGTGAAAAGTGCAAACTGGGTCAGCCATGGAGGACCCGTTAAAACATGGTATGATGTCAACATGGATGCAATGAAAAGTTTGCCATACAGTGTCTACATTACTTTCTGATACACATGTATTTTATGAAAGACTTATCCTTACACCTGCCTAATCTAATTAGTTACCCAACAACAACAAAAAAATCAACTGATTTTAATAAGAGCATATAACCATCTATTATAAATTTTTAAAAACTCTAAATGGAGTTGAAGGGACCCTGAGGGTGGACTGCTGGCTGGGATGAAAAAATATCCCAATAGACAACAGAAGAGACTGTGGTTAACAAGGCAATGGGAGACGAGATAAAAAGGGTCTTACAGAGGAAGGAAGTTAAAATTAAAGCCAGGGGAGCAATAATGTGAATCAGTATGAAGATATCTGGAGACAAAGAAAGGACGACCTACAGCAAGGGGTCTCAGCAGAGGCTAACCAAAGTAACTGTTACTGGAAGCAGTGACAAGAGATGACAGCAACCTGGAATTTCTCAGATGTTGGATGCTAATTTTCTTTACCTTAAATAAGATCATTTAATGTACTTTGCATGAAATTTCTACAGAAACTCAAAAACTGGCAATACTGATTAGCGTCTCTCTGCACTTCCACTGAAAATAAAACTGAAGAGATAGGGTGGGTACACCGCTTTTAAAACAAATTTAAAAGCTGGTATATCAATGTACAAAAGGGTAAGAATCCCAAGGGAAGAGAAAACATGCAAACCTAACCATCAAATGAGTTTAGACTGAATCATCAATTAMTTCCARTGTCAATCTGTCMYAGATGAGCAAAACATTCCAAGAAGATTCACTGAAGYAGAGGTTAGCAGTACTACTTATCAWGATGAACTAATATGATATGGCTATTGGGGTTTTTTTTCACATATAGACACAGTCTTCCCTAACCATCTCTAACTTTAGATTCCTGAAAAGAAAGAGATGCTCTAGGAAGATGATTTTGAAGATATTTATTTCATTATTTATCAAGATACTATGAGACTCCCTTAGGTATCTTCTGTGTGACTCTCAAGCCTCTACATCTTCCCTGTGCACAGATCACACTAGAAAAAGAAATACTGAAAAGTATTACCAAGATCAGGAAACAAAAAATAATTTATTATACTAAAAAAAACACTTCCACAGTATTAAGGTTATGAAAATATTCCACAGTATTAGGACTGATCTAAAAAAAACCCATTTTTCTTGTTTAGGCTTCCAAATTAGGTTCTGTGAAAATTTTCAGAACCTGAACGCTGGCATCGCACTATTAAATAACATTTACATGCTTGTGCAAAGCTCTCTGAAGTTTCCACTGCTTGGTTGTTGCATGATATGGGAATAATTGGACACCAGAATGTACAACTAACTTCTCCTTGGTTCACTTGAAGCAGAGTCATACCAGTAATACCAGAGGAATTGACACRTAAATCTCAAGAACTTGCAACAAAAAATAAATTGCTTTTTGGTGAACACACATGATTTAAATCAAAAAGTAATTAACTTACTATCATTTTCCACTAAAAAGAGATGTGCTGGTAAAGTGACTATTCTGTCTGCCAGTCTCTCATAAGAAGAATTTTAAATTACCCATTCAGTTAGAGAACGAAAGCAGTAAGTGAAGTGATACAGAAAATCCATTAGCTCTCTGTGCCCTCTGTGTGCGCCTGTGTTGGGTTTGGGTACAATGCTCAGTGATTTTACAGGCACCCCTTTCAAACCAACCTTGCTATCTCTTCCCGGTGRGCAGTCCAGTCACGAATGTAGTCTTCCTGTTCCTTTATCCTGTGCTTGAATGTGTTGCTGCTTTGAGCTGCTGTCCCAGCGCTCTGCAGTCGCGTGGTTTTCAGGGCTGGAGAGGTACGCAGACGGGTATGTTTAGGGGAATTACGGTTTGATCCGAATTCATCTTCTGAGGTGGAAGCATAATCTGTAGGAAAGCGCCTCCATCTTGCACTTACTAAATTAGTTTAATCATTAAAAAAGAATTATTATGGCATCTTTAATAAGAAAAAACAGCATTATTTCATAACATCACAAAAATACACAGCTATTCATTATCCATCCCCAGGTACCTCACAAAAGATTTATTTACTACATCTTTAAAAGAAAGCTACAGAATTTGTGTTAAATAAAAAATATAGATTAATAAAAACATAAAACTAATGCTCTTTGTATACTGATGAGTGAAATAAGATGTAAAAGCCAGTGATTGTATATGAGATCAAACAAACTGTATTACAAAACAAGGGCCCAATTCATTAACATAGAAGTATATAGTCAGATTGCACTTTTTCTGCAGATTTTTTCCCAAATTTCATTCAAGGTTTTTGTGATACACAAAAAGAAAAAAAAAAAGAGATATGAAGGAAGGATGGAGCTGGCACCAGTCCGAGAATGCATGCTTACATCAGGAAACCATAAAGCTCCTAGATGACGCGTAGGTCTTTTCCAACATTAATGATTCCATGATTCCATGATTATGTATTTAGTACAAAAAAAGAGTACATAAAATTAATATTGTGTTACAAAATTCTGCAGCACATCCATACAAAAAGCAGCCTCAGGGAAAAAAGTACATATTCTGACATGCAGCACATAAAGCATTATAAAGCCAGGTTGCTGAGGACAGCCTCAAGTATAGGAGAACTGAAACTAAGCAGGAGACTCTTGTCGAACCACTGGAGTCAAGAAAATGGATTTCAGATACATTGTCTTCAAGAATTCCCAGCAGGAGGAGATGCCACCAAGCGTAAAGAAATCCCCATCACCTCAACCTGCTAAATTCTTGCAGGGTATTTAACACCCTAAACGCATTAACATTTATGAGGCTCTGTAAGTACTGCAGAAAATTTTAAAAGTGTGTGATCACCTCTTGGCAATTGAAAAATAATAGATTTAATAATGTAAATCGTTTTTTAGTATTACAAAATGCAAGAATTAATAATGATTTCTTCTGATACATTAAAAAAAACAACATTACAAATGAAGTATACACCAATACGCATTTAAGTAACAAATAATGAATGTAATTTTACTTGAGAAAAGATTTGTGTAATGCAAAGATTACAGTATGTAGAATATGACACTGGTGTACAAGCTTACATTTCTTCCTTCATACAAATAATGAAGTTTCAATTGCTGAAAACAAAAATATCMATGTATAATTTTTTTCAGGTTAAATGTGGGTTTCAAATGATGTCTAGTTCTAYTTTTTAAAAAATGTTCTAACTTTATTGTAGAAAGTAACAATGTCTCTCCAAACACCTTGCGATCTTTTTTTGGGGGTTTCAAAGTTGTTTGATCTTAGGGAAATAAAACATGAGCAGAAAAAGTACATTTTCCCACCAATAGCATGCAAGCAATGTGTGACCAAAGTTCAGAGAGCTGTATGAGTTGGGCCCACATTTTATCATTCATTTTTGTTTAAATTCTTTGTCCCAGTTCAAATTATATTCTTTAATATAATTATTAAATTAAACTTAAAATCTCTCAATTTAACTTAAAATCTCTCTAGTTCAGCAACTCAGCACTGTACAATGAGCATATGTAATATATTTAAAAACTGAAAATTGAATGAGAAGTGAAATATCAGAAACAGATTTGATTTCTAGTACTCTACCACTGCAAGTTTCAACATCAGGGTCTGGGTCTGGGAGAAGCTTGGATTTCTCTGTGTACAAAATAGTGTTTTATCAYGTTAATTCGTTTTAAAACATTCAGATTAGAATCATTTGCTTAAATAAAATATATTGATGAGATTAGTCTTAGGTCTTCTTTTCCACCCACACTTTTTTAGGAAAAGATTATACATTCAATCAAAAATACTGAATTTTGTAAAGGCTTAAACATTTCAGAGATACCAACTGAAATGACATCAATAACAATCATTTACATAGTATCATAAAAGCCCTGTTTTTAAGACCATTAAACTTTAAGGCCTTAAAATGTTGGGGGGTTACATACTATCAATATTTTTATTGATAATTTCTAATAGTTTCTAATTAATATGAGCAAAAAGTTGTTGTAGGCCTAGTGGTAAAAATCTCAAAGTTGTAAGGTTCATGACAAGCATATCCAAGCACGTTTCCCAGGAAAGTAGCTATACATTCACATATACATATTTTAATACCATCCTTAATTTATGGAGGTCCAAAATGTCATCATAGGTTATGTAGATTTCTGAAAGCTATTGTGCATTTGTTAATCTCAGATGCCAAAGACTGTGAACATCAGTACCACTAATTAAAAACTCCTCCAAAATCCTGGCTAAAATGATCAGCATTCAAATCCAACTTTGTGACTACTCTGAGAAGTATAATGTCCTGACAACATATTAACTTGCAAGCTTGATGATTTCGACAACATACTCTCACTTTTAAGATCTGAGAACAAATTCTATTGAATACATTCCTTAAAAAATATTCTACTCTCATTGATGCGTTGCCTTCTCAAGGCACCTCCATTTCCAARATCCTAATACAAAAATCCCTTAGGAAGGGATGTTTTTTCTCCACTATCAATTTCTTTTCCCCCACAGTTACCTCAAAAGCTTTGATCAACCTATCTGCCAGCTATTTTCAATGACAGCTAGRTCAGCAAGCCAGCAGAGACACCAAACACAACTGGCTGCTCAAGGCCTCTGTGGTCTGATTCAACGCTTAATTTTACAGTTGCAACTTGTTTACTTGGCACTTTTGTACTAGGTCTCATCCTGCCACTCGTTTTCCCAATACATCTGTAACATCACCTTCAAGTCTCCTGTTTTTGTGAAAATAGGTCCTTGGTCTCCTCTCTTTTTATTGATCACACGCTACTGTTTGATGATGTAGTGCCTTGATCAGACATTTCACTGCTTGTGCTATAAARTTACTAATTCTGCTTCACGTGTCTTCACAGTGCTGTGAGTTATCAACCCTTCTACCACAGAAACACTCTGGTAATTAATGCTGATAACTCTTATCCAAGATGTTCCRTTTATTTACTTGCTCTTTCATATAAAAGCAAGCAATACTTCACTACATCAAGTATTAAAAATTATTCTTGAAATTATAGACTTGCTGCTAGCTTTGGCAATTTTAATGCTGTTATGCTGCATTTCATCCACATGAAGTACAASACAACTAAAAAAATCCAGTGACTACATAATTTTCTTGCCCTCTTATTTCAGGTATGTCTGTCTGTACATTGATTTGGAAAGTGCAGGAATAAATTTCTCTTCGTAGGCTGGATTTAAGAGATTGCCAATATTTAGTGATCTGTAATGTGGCAATGTTAACTGACCTCTGATGAGATAACCCATGGAACATATTTAACATTTTGAGAGCAACTAGTCTTCTGGTAAAGAAAACAAAGCTCCAAACCCTATATTGGTCATAATAATTAATTTTCCAGTCTTTCTATGTCCAGGGAGAGAAGAAAATCCATTCCTGTAATGCCTTGAAGTAAAACACATTCAAACAGTTGAGRCACTTCTGTCAAGCACTTCCCTAGTACTTTCCAAAAGTGTTAAAATTAATTGAATGCTTKACTTTTCTAGAAAGAAAATTAAATAGAGGAGTTAAAAGTAGCCTATACGAAATAGGAGATGCATGTATATTTACATACTCCCTATACACTAGAAGATTACACCACTTCCAAARCAATTCAGATTTTCCTTAATTATAGTCTAAATAAACCAATAAAAGAATATACAATAATGTTACTGATACAGACAAAAATCAGAACTCTAAATCCTAAACAGTAGTAATAATATTTTTTACTTGATTGGTTTATTTAGCCCTGATTTTGTTTAGAAAATGTCAGACTGCTTTATTAATTGCTTTCAGATTTTGGCCTTTACATTGATATGCTTCTCCCTTGATAYATATTGACTGATAAAGTTTTTTATGAAAGAAGCTATTACTAGTGCAGATTTTTCGAGCAGTGGTCTTTTAAAATAATCTAGCTTAATATGTTGGGGTACTCATGAGACGATGGCGTCGCTTCTCTCTTGAAAAGACAATATTTTATAGAAGCTACAGTAAAYTTTGTGTGACACAGGCAAATGAACACTATGCAAAGACAACTGTGATAAACTCATAAAGTGGGAAGAGAAAGATACACTCACTTCCCTTAAAAGAAGCAGCAAACTGCTTCAAAGCAACAACCTGGGAAAACTTTAGGAAGCCTGCAATACTTCACATGGACACAGAACTCAAAATTCATATACAGTTTTGTGAAAAACAAAAACAGTGAAGTAACAACATCTGGGCTTTACTTTTTTAAAAATCAGCAATATCATAATGTCAACTAGTACTCATTATCAAAATAAACATACAGAAGTCTTAACTGACACTTCCCTAATCAAATGTTGCTACCTTTCAAGTTGCATGTGTCAATTCAAAATTTTGATTAGAAATGAAACAGGCTACTTTTCCAATTGTATCTTACAAGGAAAGTCTGAATTTTTATTTGAAGTTTCGCCTTTTTTTGGTACTTTTGTAGACACTCATCATAATAGCAAWCATTCAACTTTATAGTTCAGTGAACACCTCATTTGTATTTCAGCAGTAACTTCTATTCAGCTAATGAATGGCACTGCCAAAGGTGGGGAATACACAATGCGAAAAATCCTGACATGGCCCATTTATGATATACAAGCAACAGAAGGACAGCAGGAACATGGGAAATTAAGTATCAGAGTTGCTTTTATCAAATCTGAATGGGATATAGTAACATTGAGTATGCTACGGCACTGGAAGCTACTCTATTTAATTTTACTCTTCAACTGTGGATTGACTGCAAATTACTGCAAATCCACTGAAAAGCTGGTAGCATGGCAATACTAAAAGCAAGCAGACATTTACTTTAGCTATTCATTCCACATGGAAGTTTACTTTTTTAATAATCACAGTTTATTTTGATAGATTTAATATTGCTGTTGGAAAAAAACGTTACCACACTTTCATGGCTTGCACTAAGAATGTTGTGTCAACTTCTAAYAGAATAGTAATTAAAATTCATGGCTTGTATGGATTTTCCCTTCCACACATAAGGTAGAAGAACCACCATACCAAAGAAGACCAACATAATTTGGAAATCATGATGAAATCATAAATTGCCAAGATTTGGAACAGAGAATGCAAAATAATCCAAAACAAGGCAAACCCTTTAAAAGAAATTATGGTATTTAGTTAGGTAGTCCATAGTTTTTCAACACATTACTTCAAGGTTATTATTCTTGTGAAAAAAAGCTCTGATTACCTATTTTCAAGCCTACATTACAAATCAATATTCTATTTTCTATGTAGCAAATAGTGTTGCTGACCTTCTGAACTTCTACTGCTATGATTTAAGCAAGGAGATCTTGGGTCTATTTTTGCACTAAAACAAATATTGCTGGCACATCTGACTGTCCCAAAGAAGTTCCGTTTTACTGGTTTCAGGATGAAAATGTACCCAAAGAGTTAAAGGATTTCAGTTTCTTGTTTTTATGATTTTAAGTGAGAAACCTCCACAAGACCTGCCATGGAAGCCTCTTACTTGGAAGAAAAAGACTACATCAACTAAAATTCAACAGTTTTGTAAGAACTCTTTCATAAACAATTAAAAAGAATCCATGTTAACAACATCTAATATTGTATAAAATTATTTCAAATAATCAKGCATACCTGAGGGAGAATTATGAGCCGAAGCCAAGGATTTGGATTTTGAATCCGAAAGTCGAGAAATGCTGTTGGCTCGAGTTCTAGCAGAAACTTTATTATCTCCCCCTGAGATCAACCTTGAACCACTTCTGATAACTGCTTCTGGGGTACGAGATGCGGCAGTGCTTCTGGTTATTGTTGCTTCAGAATCACTACGTGCTGATAAAGAGCCAAGTCGATTTCTGCGAGGTTGAGCGAGTAAGTCTATTCTGGAAATATTTCTCCTCCCTGAAGGAGGTTTTGATGTAGAACTYGTAGTGGACACTTCAGAAGCTACTGAAGCCTTATCGGCATCAGCAAGCTCGCTATCCGAGACTTCACCAAGCCGTGCTCTGCGCAAGAGAGAAGTCCTTGTGGGACGAGGTCTTGGAAGAGTGGTAGATTTACTAGATTGCCCAAGTCCAACAGGAGAGGTTTTTGATTTAGSTGACTTTCCTTCCACCTTGGAATGTAAAAGTTCATCTGCTGAGGCAAAAGGAACTCTTCCATGTGMTTTGCCAGAGTAGGTTTCCTGGTCAGATGATAAGATATCAGAAATGGCAGAGTGAGGTACGCTAGATGTTTGGTCATCATCTGTTAAATCTACTGAAGGTTGCCTCATTCTTCCACTGGATTGAACAGTTTTGCGAGCRTCAGTTCTGGACCCACCATCTGAAGATCGACTCTTAGTTTTCTTTTCCATCTTTTCTCTGGCACTTGTTGAAGATTTTAAAACATCCTTTGAAGGGGAACCAGTAGAACATCTATCTTTATATAAGGTTGTAAAGCTCTTCCGCTTCTGCGTGGATTTTCTTTCAGTGTCACCAGTAACAAGACTGATTGTGCTGGCTGTGTCGACATCTGATTCTGGCGATATCGAATTATCTCTGTTATAGCTGGGAGTGTCAGGACCTTCATCAGTTTTATTTTCTTCACGCAATTTAGCTTCAAGGAAAGCCATTACAGCTTCTGTGTCTTTTAAAATGAGGGTTGTATCTATACTGGAATCAGTGTCCATTGAATCACTTCTGTCACATAACCTGTTTGCAGATATTAAAGGGGCAGCGGAACCACTTTGCTTATTAATGTGAGGAATTAGTTCTATAGGTATATTTGTGCTAGGCTTATCTATAGTAAAGCTACCTTGCCTCACTAATGGTTTTGAAGATTCCTTTTTTTCTCCTCCAGGTATTTTAGGACTTTGTCCTCCAATGATTTCCTCATTTTTYCTYCTTTTTCCCTCAAGCTGCATCAACTTAAATTCTGCTTTATCTGTAACATGTCCAGGAGCACTGTCTTGATTGTCCAAGGTTTTGGGTGATGTAACAATCTCCTCCCTCCCTTTCCCAACCTGGTTTGCAGCAGATTTTGTAGAGGATAATTTTGTGGGTGTCCAGTGTCCTTGCTCCTTTCTTTCTTGTTGTTGAATTTTTGCTAAAGCTTGTTTCACTACCGAAGTTTCTCTGCCAATTTCAACCCTCTCTTTACTAGAAGAGCTGGGAAAAGAAAAAACTTTGTCTCCAGTAGCTTTGGGTGAAAGACCATTCATTGTTCTGCTTGACTTTACATCTGAGGCATGAGCTGGAGTTTCCTTCTCCTGAAGTTCAGTGTCTTGCTTTTCACCTATTTCTGACCTCTGATGAGATGAAGTTTTTGGTTTTGAGTTTTCATTCACTCTCTCCTCTATGGGAAGCTGTGGAAGTGTTCTCCTCTTTCGCTCACCTTGGCTAGTCACAGAAGCAGCTGAACCAGCACTTCTAACAGAAATACCAGACTCACTGATGTCTGTGTCTAAAAATGGAAGAGAAAAAAATATTTGAGAAGACATCAACAGCATAAGGCTAATACAATGTAGAACTGGAAGTCACCAGCCCATTCTGCTATTCTATGGCAAGATCAATTATATTTAGACAAGTATAGGTCGAGAAACATTTAACAAACCCTTATAGCCAGCTGGATCACATATACAAATTTTGACCTCACAGTGAGTTAAAATAGGTAAGAAATCACTGTTATATCAATCAGCACACCATAACTGTAGGAAATGGAAAGTAAGTCCTAATCACCTTTAGGACCAGATTTCAAAACTACCAAAAGGGGTAAGATCCTCCTATCCTCCTACTTGCCTGTTCCACGGCTCAAGGTCTYGTCTCATGGACAGACTACAGCCTCTCCATGCGAGACCTCGCCTCACTCAGGCAAGAATTTGCAGTGCTGGGAGACTTTCCAGCAACATTGAAAAGCCCCACTCATGAACAAAGAACTTACTGTGGTTGAGAGAGCAAAAACAAAGTTTTTATYCCAAACAAGACACTATAGAATAAAAATGTATAGAAAATGTATACAAWGCATCAAAAGAACTACTACTGCTAAAGCACTTTCATTTAATTCTTAGTGTACACAGAACGCTCCTTAGGCAGAAAACCATGACCRTACCATGGACTGTTTCAAGGAATAACTGTTTTAGAACTCAAACTTTATTTTTCCATAGTAATGATGACTGTGCCCTCCTTGCTCATTTAACAAACACAGCAGTTGTGCTGACAGAAACAAGCCTTTATTACTCAAAGGTGATAGAAATTGYTCTATTAATTGCTCTGACTTTGACTATTTGGATAGAAAAAAATCTTTTTGCAATTCGTCAGCTGTGGCAATATAACATGACACACTTAGTAACACACATCTGTCAATTCCTTTTTTGCCAGGACAGATCTATGAACAACTGCTCTGCATACCCTGCTGGGGTTTTCCTATCATGGCTTGCAACCAACATTGGTTGCTCCAGGAGTATAAACTGGAGTATAGGGTTTCTATTTCTGCAAAAATTCTCCATGCAATTAATTGAGTATCAACAATCGTGCTCCATGTATACCYATTATTTTTTATCTGTGCTCTTCAATCTAGCTTTTCTTTTGGCAGTGTCACACCTTGGATGAAGAATGCAAAATGACTCACAGATTTTTTTCTATAATCTATGCTAAGACACTGGTTTGAGAAGCAGTAAGTACCTCTAAAATCCTCTAAAGTACCTCTAAAATCTTTGCTTTTCCAGGACTGTTGTTTTCCTTGAAAATTATGAAACAAATTGAATATTCCACAAAAATCAATATGATAGCCACCTGTGAAGATTGACTTCTTTCAGACATATCTACCAGATAAAATATTTTAGACACGTAGAAGCATATAACTTGCTTCTTGGTGAATTTCAAACAGCTCTTAGTAAAAAAAAGGCATGGAGTTGTTCAGCATCTTATTTGGCTATATATATGCCATGTGAAGTTTAAATACTAAGCTTTTTAAAGAAGATACACGCACCTAGGTCAACAAGATAGATTTAGTGAATCAGTTTTTAGATGTACATACTGAATTTTATTTACATTACACCTTTGGCACTTGAGCACTTTATTTCCCCTTTTGTATTTTAGAATTCTTGCAGCACAGGTATGCACTGCACAGTAGCTGCTTTACTTTATCTTTTATCTTAGTTCTTATAATGGTAAAAGAAGCTTTATCCCTCCAAAGAAGATCCTAGGTAGTGTCTCATATGAAAGTGACCATTTAAAACAATACAGAATACAAAAGACCACCAAAGCGCCAAATTAACCACCCAAAGGATCAGTCCCAATAGTTATAATTTTATGTGTCCTGTAAGTACACATCCAGTCTTTCCAAACAGTGCAAAATTTGCTCTTGATTTCCATCATTCTGTGTATATTGGATAATTTAATTATTCCCCTTTCCATCTTTTTTGACTTTCAGTATCCTAGGCAAAGTTCAGTGCTTAAGAGGGGAGGAAAAGCTACTACAGCAGTCTTCTGTTAATAATGGTAAGAATTATTTCATGCACTGATACAGAAGTTTGTATTATACAACATCAAAAGCAAAACTTTGTAAACCTTCTCCAAAAGATGACCGCAATCTCTAAAGTGAAATTGGCAGGAAGAAAAAAGCAGAAGAGAAGTAAGGTAAGTAATTCTTTTTATAGTCAAAGACTGTAGACATTAAAGAATAAACTAGTTAAAAATCAGAAATGTGAGTAATTAAACTATGGAGAGACAGAGCCTGAACATCTGGCACTCACAAGGGAGATAAGGTTGTTCATTGCTAAGGACAAAGTTTCTGGGTTTTTCAAAAAATAGAAAAGGTCTCCTGTATTTCCAAGATAAGGAAGGATGTATACTTCAGCTGAAGTGTCTCAAGTTAGGCTGCTGAATAATCATTATACTGAAGTACAATTTAGACTAATAAAGATGTAAGAAAAGAAACATAATACGCAGACCAACCCAAACTGTGTTTWAGTAAAAGTTTCTCTAATATGAAACAGTTTATAAACTCTCCTGTTTTAGTAACATTCAGTGTAATACTACCACTCAACTGTCACGCTGGACAACACTACTGCTGTGATTGTTTTTACACTGCAATGAAACAGAAGAATTTCATGTGAAAATGAAGCATTAGGAGTAGAAACGCTKATTAAGTATAGTACATAATCATTCTTTTTTCCCTTTCACAGGTGTTTTTTCAGTATAAATTATGAACACAGGGACAGTTTTTAATACCATTTTCTAATGGAGCAGGCACAGAAGACTCCAATCTCATGTCATCTTGGTCATGACGTGTGTGATTAGCAGCCAAACTGGCCCACTGCGATACCCAACGTTTACCTCCAGGGTTAGTAGAACCTTCCTAAGGAAGAAAAAAAAGCAGAAGAAAAATTATAACAGTTGGATAAAAAGCATGCCATCTTTCCATGTTTATCCTGAATAGGTATGTCAGACACTATTTTCCTGGAGGAAGTTGAAAAATGGAGTTTACCTCAATAAATTTTACAGTTCCCAGCTCAAGAATAGCAAATAAACAAACAACATCTATATAGTTGCAGAATCAGTACCAAATAAACAACAGTTCCTAGTGCAGTGAACTTTCAAACATCAGAACCTATACAAAATATATCTGAACRTGCTAATTCTAACACCAGGTTATTTCAGTCCTCAGCTCAGAAGTGGAGGAAAAGAACATGGGGTGTGGGGRTGTGTTAGAAAGTTAAAAATGTGCTTCAGGAACACAAGAAAGTGACATTTTACCGATTAAGAAGACCCTCTTGTCCAGATGAAATATTGTATTGATTCCATTGGAGAAAGACTACCTTAAGGACTAAAAGAGCAAGATAACTTATGATGGAAAGGAAAGGAAGCTCAGATTATTTGTCTGGTCTAAACGAAAAAAGAAGCAAAGATTAGTTTTAAACATCCTACTGGGTAACAGTAAAGTCAATGTCATCAGTATTTCACAATTTTTTGCAGCTAAACCAGAATGGAAATTAATTTTGTTTCTTGATGGCAAGCCATTTGAAATTTTGAAAAGATTTAAAATGTAAAAAAGTATAGAATTAAATAATTTTCTTGTGTTATTACAGCATCTTTTATTTCAAACCCTGATTTCTAAATAGGATGCAATGATACTGAATTAGCAAATATATTACAGACTCTCTTGCTTACTTCTCCAAAAATGTCACCAGCCCTGCTACATCTTCAAATCTTCACACTCCTTTGCAAAACACTAATTTTTGTCTAATACCATGGCTACTCTTGGATTCTAGTCTTTTAAGGATACAGTACTATACATTTTATAAAATGTATTTACATAAATTGAATCATGAACAATGCCACCTACTATGTGATAACTTCTTTCAAATTAGATGTTACTTAGACATTTGAAAAGCTTGAATTTATGATCTTCAATTGCTCCTGATTATTGTAAATGAGTGTAACATCACAAATCTCTTCCAGATTGTGGTAAATTAGAGACATAACAAGTAATTAGTTTGAACTATTACAAAGCTGGCATACTTTGAATCAATTTTTTTAGAATCAAAATGTTACAAAATTCAATTCTAACAACTCAAAGGAAGGCAATTCAATGTTTGTCATTTATGGGCACTTCTGAAGACAGTGCAAGGTGCCAGTATGAATATTACAAAAAATACACAACATTTATGCACTGACAACTAATAAACCCAGGCTTTTCTTTCCTATCACTAAACTTTCTTTTCCTTTCTTTACTAGAGAATTTCCATCTAATAAAACAACTAATTATAGACAAATCCGAACATGATAGATGTCCCAATCATCTTTGKCACAGCAAACTTCAACTAGGTCCTTCTGTACCACCTAACCAATTTCAGAGATACAGATATGTGTCAGAAATGCAAATTCTACTTCACAATGAAGAAACATAYCAAGACTTCGCAGATTAACTGTAGCAAAGCTACATGATGAATTAATTTTCTCTGGATATAATTACACTGCCAAAAAATGGTTTCTACATAGCAGTGAATGTAAATGTGTGCTTTGCCAAGCATAAACAACAAAAACAAAAATACGCAGTTTCTTTTCATGGTAGTTTAAGCACACCCAGAAGGTGCAAGGTATATAAAACATATATCTAAAAAGTCATGTTACCCTAACGTTCTTCCTATAATCCATACCAATTTGGATCTTACAGGCTCTCAAGTAAGCAATCCTCCAAATCTTTTCTTGAATACCAAAAGGAATTTCCTTCTTTCAGAAAAGCGGGGTTTACCTATGATATACCAGCCTTTTACCTTCGAGTTAAATCTACTTTCTCTTATGCTTATCACATATACTAGGTCAATAGGGGTAATAAATCTTTGGAAAATGTACCAAAGGATTTCTGTGGACTTACTATTCAGCCTGAAGATTTAAGGCTTCAGGCTCCACATGTGGAAAAAATCCACCGTGCACACTCATTGCACCTGGAAGCATCTCCACTTCTTGGCATTTCAGAACAGAATCATAGTGTTTTTTTAAGTAAATTTCAAAAAGCTGAATAAGATTAATGAAAACATGCAATGTAAAGATTCCTTTTCAGAAGACAYTCCAGTCAGTTCAAGTTGTAAGAATCCTATTATGTCATCTTATCATAAATTGAAGAGCTGTCTTGAAAGCAGTTCTTCCCTCCTCACACTAYCTGCCTCAGAACAATATTCCTCCATGATCTTTTTACAAAATTCCATCATGATTTATTTACAGCCAATGTCTTCAAGTTATTCATGGAAYAATACTGACACCAATTCTTTTTGTTAAAATTACACTTACTCCCCTTATAGATGAAAACCCAGCAGTTGTACTCATCTCAGCTATTACTTTGCTAGACTAGCTGGACAACACTGATCTGCTCTTGCAAGGTRGATTTCCATCCCTGTAACAATCTGAGTTCTTTGTACCTTCTCTAGACTTGCACTCACCTTTCTTAAGCAAGAATGGTAACAATTCTAGTGCTATTATTACAGAGGAAGCTTCACCATGGAAGTAACACTGCCCTTTTCTGCTGACAGTACATTTCCCGTGATATTGGTGATACCTCAGCCTAACTTCAGTAGAGCATCTCAGTTCAAATAAAAAGTATCAAACTTCAAACTAAAGGGATTGTTCTACAGTACCAAAAATAAGAGTAATTTCAGAGGACAAATAAAAGGAAGTACAGCCTCTAAATACTTCACTTCTAAGAAGCAATATAGCAAATATTTACATGAATGAAATTATTCAATATTCAGAATGTCAGTAGTATTATTTATCTTATTTTCAGTGGGAAAGGCATTCAAAACAGCAGAAGAAATGTTGTAGTCMATGGCATTGATGACCCTGTAGATGGAGTAGGAAATTTCTAACTGTGCTTTAGTCTCTCAAAAATATACAAAAACTGCAAACCAAGCCCAAACCAACCAAAAACCAGAAGCATATCAGACACAATGTTGATAAACTATCATTTAAGAACTGAGATAACTGGCCACTGAAAATTAAATGGAAGCTGGATGGATAAATTACAGCACAAATGCCTGCAGTATTTTTATAAACCAAGCTCACATAGTAAGAACAAATGGTAATAACAACAATAGTATTCCCTTTGCTCTCTATTTACTGAATTTTTGTTCTTAAATCACACTTACCTTCGTTGGCAAGGTGCAGCTTATAATATAGAAAATAAAAACTTTTAAATATTTCAAATAGATGGATTTAGTATTTTTATTGCCTATATGTAATCATTGAAAAGGCAAGAACCAGTGAATTCAGGCTCAGTCCAACTGTGTCAGAGGCTCACTCTTGCATTTTATTTATGACACACACTACTCCAAAGTACTTAAAGATTGTTAAAGAAAAAGCTGAGAATTTCTCTTTCCGAGAAAAAGCATTTCCAAACAGAATAAGCTTTCAATCCCCAAAGTGACTCTAGATGACCCTGTCCTGCCTTGGCAGCAGAGTTGGACTGGATGACCCAGAGGTGTCTTTCAACTCTAACTATTCTGTGACTCCGCAAAATTTCTTTTATAAAATCTTTATAATTTCCCAGGCCATCTTTCTTGAATAGAAGTATCTTAAGATTTTTATTCTTTGCCTTTTCTGTATCAATCWTGGTCTGAACTGACCTCATTCTGCTAAATCATCTGCAGGAATAACTGTGATGGACAGCTGGAATAAGGTCCACCCACAGTCTGTGTGGATGCAAAACTGGAACACTGAGCTACCCTGACATAACCTTACTATTTAGCCAAGATCTCCAATAATGTTTATTAACTTACAATCTGAGGCTCAGTAATGCAGTAAGTCTTCCAAAACCCTCAAACAGAAAAGTTTGTATACAAGAACATGACCCACATACTTTACAAATCAAGCACATTTGCCTCTCCCTTTCCCACTGACAAAACAAACTAAGTCGAGTTTTGGTAGTAACACTTTAAATATAACAATCTTCTCTCAGTAGTTACCCTCATGATTGTTCACCCAATTATTTCCCTATAAAACACACCTCTAATTTCCTGAATTAGCTTCTGTTTTGCTTTTATGTATCACCCAACTTCTACTTTTAACTTTCTCTTGTAAGCTTTCTTCCACCTTCATCTGTCCTTGACTCTTCTTACACTAATCTTTGCTCTGCCCACACTGCTTATAACAGTTTTGTTCCTTGACTTACTGACCAATTTTCATTTTCCCATATCATCGTGCCTTGTAATAATATTTTAAATTATGCTAATAACTTATCCTCTCCCACTATATAAAGACATTTTAATGCAGCAAAGCAGTCACASCAATAAAACACTACAATTCTTGCAATTCAACCTAAATCATACGCCATATTTTTAGTCTCAGTCTTCTAAAARCAAAGCCTGTTATTTGCAAAATATGACACCTGGAAAGCCCCATTACGTTCATAAAATACATCACATATTCTTCTTCTGCTTATGGAATTATAAAGRTGATAAAACATCAATACTCTTGAAAACTGGTAATCCACAAAAGAGCTGAATGCTGCAAATGACATGAAAAAAAAAAAGAGAAATAACATGGTTATAGATTTGGGAAAAGAAGCAAGGTGAAAAATCTTCTGCRGGATATGCCTACGCTGTGTGGCAATACTTCACTTTAAGCCGTAACCTTAGAGAAATGAGTCAAATGTGCWAACCTAGACACAGTAACATACTTAGTGTCTCAACATTTCACAGTAGCTACAATACAACCATGATAAAACACACCTCTAGGAGAAACAGACTTGTAGATTCTAAAAYCAATGTATTTGCACGACAGGCCCAGTAGGTTGTATTTTAGAAACAGTTTGCCAAGGGAAGTAGAAGTAAGTGTTACGTGCTTCATTAGTGTTACCGGCTGACTCTGCTCCATTGTGATCCTGCTGTTCCACACATATTTCAAGGTAGTTTATTCATCACAATGATACAAGAATGTCTCCCAAGATTTCAATATGAAATGTGATCAATATCTAGCTTGTGTGGATATTCCAAGTCATATAAAGCCAGGCATTTTCCTCTGCTTAATATTCCTCCACCTGATTAAGTAATACAGCGTCTGAATCAAGTAAGGTAAGTGACTTATCATCAGTAGAACCTCACTGGAAAACTTAACCGTGAATGTAAAAACCTAAAGTCCTCTGGCTTCAGAGAAAAAAATCTTAGAAATATTATCCACCATTATTTCCCTAGCCGATTTTGTATCATGCCTTAAATGCATACATCTTATTTCTGGATTTTAATATAGTTACTTGCTTTGGGCTATAAAACATAATCAGCTTTTCCTCAGTTCTGCTGCAGAACTTACATGAAGTGTACATTGTGCAAAGTTATGTTGTTGCATGGAAACTTCTGCTACATTTCCAATACACTGGTGTTAGTGCACATGGAAAGGTAGCGAAGCTTTAAAATCCCACAAATGTAATGTCTCTGACAGAGAAGCTTTGACAATGCAATAAAGGCCCAGGAGAAATAAAATACTTATAGATCTGAATTAAACTTTTTCAGGCAAGATTTTGTTTCCTCTTTAACACTTACTGGTCACTTCTTAGTGCTCTCTTTTAGTGGAAGAAAAAAGAAGACCGCCAAAAATTAAATTCTACCTCTGTGTCAAGAAATCCAGTTGTACTCAGTGGTCTTTTTTCTTCCAGCACTACTGTAGCAGAATTTATAGCCCAATCTTTTACTAAATCTTTCTGGTTCTCGTTGATAACAGGCCTATTATAATCCTGGCTGTCATCCACTCCAAATACCTGAAAATGAAACAAACCATTACATTCATTAACCCAATACCATCCTCATACAATGTTCAATGTTAATGGATGGATGGTGGCATGCTGGATAGTGAGTATAAAGAGGTTTTATTCTATTATGCTTATCTATCACCTTTGTGCAATCTACAAACTAATAGAAGAAATAAATAGAAGAAATATCTACAGTAATAAAAAAAAAGTGGAAGTCTACATCAACATYGTGAAAATTCAAGGAAATGCTAGTTGGAATGGTCAGATATGAAAAAATGACACTCTGATGAAAGGAACAAAAGATAAAAGCAAAACCATTGCAAAATCCATTTTACCATTTAAGGGAAAAACCTGATAACTAGAACCACCAAATTTTCAGATTTTTGCCRTTATCTAATGAAAACAAGGAATACAAATGATTGCATTTGCTATTAACATGCTGATTGAATTATTGCTCTAATACAAACAGAATTTTAGTGTTTCAGTTGTTAGGGACTTAGCAGATGCTAAAAGTCACCAGGTCTCATGAAACATTAGACTCATCCAAGATGTGACTTGGGATAGTTCTTTTACTACACTGTTTCCTAATGATGCTTATATTAATCCCTTCTGCTTATGCCAGAATAATTTTCTCATTACATTTTAAAAACATTGCTCCGAAAAAAATACTCGAAAAACATTATTACCAAGAGAATTTACTAATACAAACTTTAGAAGAACCACCATTCTGTTTGTCAAATTTCTCATGAGTCATAAAAACAAGGAATATGAATTGCTTTCAGAATTAATGCATAATTAAGGATACTTTAGAAAATATTTTRTATCTGGAAAACATGTAATTTATAAAATTTGCAATTTTTGCCTAAGAAATCAATTCACTATTTTACTACTATGGACTTAGACATTAAAAAATTACAGAATAATAAGAACCTCCCACACACATTAAAATTGGTTGCAAAAAAGTAACTGTTAACATCAAAAATTGTTTTGTCATCTTCACAGATGTTATCTTCCTGTAACAAACACTACATARTGCAGAAGAAGAAAAGGTGTACAGAATTTTTTTTCTCCCAAGGTTTGCATTCAGATTTGCACAGCAAAACTAGAGGAGTGGCTTATCACAACGCTGAACAAGGTTAGTGTCTTCAAAATGGATTCACCACTAGATGGCCACAAACCATAATGTTGTCAAGCTTCTGAGAAGCAGACAAAGGACAACATAATAGTTAAGCACCCTGTCATTCAACTCTTTATGCTCTTCTAACTGTAGAGGAAGACATTACTACAGCTTTACTACATTTAGACCTGAGGGAATTTTCTCAAATGCACTGGATTTGTATTTTGCTCTCACAAAAAAGCCTGCTTTCCGGACATCTTAAAATTCAGGCAGTGCTCCTCAAGTTTTCAATTTATACATAAATCATATCCACAGTCTCTGGATTAGAAGTTCTTAACAGTATTTACAAAATATGTATTTTCTTTTAAAAAATGTTATAACTTAAATTTTTGCTTTCACAACATACTTTTGATTTGTACAGTTGTAGCAATTTTTGTTGCTAGAAACCAGCTAGCATCCAATGACACTTCTCTTTGAATATATCATTATTCTGCAGACAGGTTTTTTGTGTACCATAATTCCTTAATTAGAGAATTTTACATATTATTTTAAATTAAATGGAATTCTGGTATTATCACAAAAGCACCTGAAGGAAAATATGAATTCYGCACTTCCATATCTAATCAGGACTACAGCAGCAAACTGCTGCCTGTAAATTGCTTCATTTTATCTGACAGCACATTCATTTACCATGTCAGATTTCTTTAMTTATATCAGAAATAACTCTTCTTTCAGTCTTACCTTTTCTAGTACTGAACTCCTATTTAAGCAAATTTGGTTATTCTTCCTCAAATACTGAAATTACTGCAAAACCAAATTTGAATATTGCCTATTTTTTCTGTGAAAGGCAATAATGAATATCACTAAGACCCAAGTAATAGCATTCCTAATGTTCCTTCTCTTTATACAGTGAGGATATCAGAAGAGATAAGCAAAATATTTGGGAACAGTACTATTAGAAAAAGAAGTAAAATATCTTCTTCAACAGAAGTATATTTTTGTAGTACAATGTCATTCTATATTTGATATCTGCACGCACCTGTCCTAAGGTTCCACTGCTGTAAAAAAGCAAAGCTCTGCTTCTCACAAGAAGAGATGCATGCAAGTGTGTGCCCTAAGACTAAATTTCCGAAYTGTGACACATAAAAACCCCTTGAAAAGTTTTGTTACTAACACGTAATTAAGAGTTCAAATACTAAAATATTCACAAGATAAAACAATCCATGTTAGTATTTGACAAAATTTAGATCATTACTTAATGCCTGTCACACTCCTCCAGAAAAGCAATACTGTCAAAATTTCAGGATTAACCAATCCACACAYTCCATTTATCAAATAATGAGAATGCAGAAATCATCTCTGTACCATTTAGAAAATGCAATTTGTACTTTCTGGGTTGCTACAATATGGTATGTGTGCAAACAGTGGGCTGTTGTGACAGAAGCCTGAATGGAAAAAAAACCTGTATCTTTGTACAAAGACTAAATTACACTCTTCAAGGCTTCCAATTCTTCAGATATTTCTGTTGTTTAAATAKCTCCATGATTGGGAAGTCATTTAAGGGAGGTTAGGAGATAATTTAATCAAACCAAGAGAATTCTGAGGAAATGCTCATGACACATATTGCTGCATCTCTCATCTTTTGGACAAAAAGATTGAAGTTTCTTTCTGCAAAGCTTGTACTTTTTCAGAAGCAACTATGAAATGTATTTTGATCAAATGTGTTTTGGGGAAGAAAAAGACAAAGCCAGATTCCACAATACAGATTTGGACACACCGAGCTGTTGGAAAAATGAGAAGCAAGCCTTTTTTGTTTTATTTTGATGAAGGAGGCAAAATAATTCTATGTATGTGACTAACCATCACAAAACACATATCCAGCACACAGCTGTCAATGAAAAAGTTTCCAGATTTTTTTACACTTTTTAATAGACTTTAACAATAGAAACTTTTACAAGACCTGATATTGCATTTTTTTGAGAGAATCTGGGGAATGAGGAGTAATGTAAAAAGAATAAATAAAGAACTATTCCTAGAAATATTAAAAAAAAAAAGAAACCAACAGATCCTAATGCTTTTTTTTTTATTAATAGGTGCAATTTTAAACTGGAATTACCAGAGAAAGATATTTCTAAATTATATTCCTACAAGCAACCATTCCAGAAAGCTAGAAGTTTTTTTTTCCCTGCTCTGCCCTAATGTCTACTCTTCTGAAATTATATTTCAGTATGAAGATTACATTATTTCATTCTGAATGTTTCACGCTTCATGAAGTTACAAAACAAAAAACCAGGATGAAAATTTTCACAGAAACCCTGAAAGCTGACTGACAGGGAAAAAGATACCCCACCAATCTGCAGCATTTCATGCGTCTATGCCACATGGCAGTAATGGCAGAACAGACACAAACATTGTATAAATTGTGGTGGTGGTGTTTAAAAATAACTAATTTATGGTTATGAAGCATGAAACAATTTCCATTGCAAATTAGGCCTTTTTGAATGGCAAAGGAATGATGACAACTACATTGCTGTAGAAAGTCAAGACCCATTTATTCTGAAATGTTCTCAGTGTAATTTTGTTTAACCTGCAATCTAGTTACCCCTAAAGCAAATGAATTAACGCAAGAGAGACATTGTCTAACTGGGGGAGCTCAGCAGGGGCCACCACGATGGCCAAGGGCATTTTGCCTGTGGGGAGAGTGTGGGGAAGAGGGACTTGATGAGTTTGGAGGCAGGAAGGCTTTGGGGTTGCTTAACAGCAGCCCCAGAATACTATAGGGAGCCTGTCAAGATGACAGCCAGGCTCTCCACAGTGCTACATTGCAGGGGGACAAGGGACAACTCATGAAAGTTGAGACAGGATATAAAGAAAAGTTTTTTCACTCTGAAGACCGTCAAACAAGCTTGCCTAATCTCTGTCCATGAAGACCCAAATGGATAAAGTCCTGGGCAACCTGGCTGACCTCAAAACTTCTTTGAGAAGGGAATTAGTATAGAGACCTCCTTCCCAGCTTATGATTCTATGCTCCATGAGAACAGTGATCTTGCATAACAACTCAACATCTCAGGTCTCCTAGTGTAAAGTCTTGAGAAAGTATCCCCAAGTATCCTAAAGCAGCAGGGAAAAGATGAGCTACTGACACATACTTTTCAATTTCAAATAGTGAACAGTAAGTCCTCTAAAGATCSCCTATGATACTCCACTTAGATTCTGCAGTTCACTCAGAAAATAAAGGGACAAAACAGCAGGCTAAAACTATAGCAAGTCTCAAAGCTTTTCACTTTCTAGAATGCGAACTTGCCCTGAAAAAATAGAGAAGCAAAATACAAAATAACTGATAGCAAAACAATTGTAGGTTAATTCAAATATTCATGAATATCATCACTTTATATCAGCAACAGGTTTTTTTTCCCAATATTCTGAGAATATAACTTCATCTATATAGATCAGTAATTGTTAAAATTATTTATCCAACCAAAACCAAGAATTAACAAAATCTATCTAACACAATAAAACCAAGATGCAAATCTTGCAAGAGGTACTGGCATACTTTCAGAGAAAGTGTGAGTTACAGGACCACGTCTGAGCACCTGCCTTGTCCTCTTTGGCAAAGGCTGATTTTGTAGAAAGCAGAGTACTCTGTTTTGGCAGAACCTCCCTGTGACAACTGCTCATCACCATGGCTGCAACACAGCTCTAACACAAGCTACCTTTAGCAMTCAGGAATTGGACTTGTTCACTCTCCCTTGTCCTGTCCCAAAGYAGATGAATTAATATTTTTTGTAGCACAGATGAACTATTCTAGAGGTGAACATAATGCTTYAGAATTATGTATCAAGATGATTCTTTAAAACCACAGAAGTAATTTTTCTGTCTCAATTTGTGCAAT